AGGCTAATTTTGCAAACTAAAGCGGGGGCTTCAATTTGAGATGGGCTTCATCTCGAGATTAAGTCTACTGGGCTTCAATTCAAGGTTTTACGGTATGTCTACTGATTAAAATGGAATGTTGATGTTATGATTCCCTGCACACAAGCCAATTACGCAGTGGACATATTTTTTGTAAAGGAAACCTGTGAAATTTGTATTCAAGGATATCTGCTACAGGTACTTCATGTCTGGTGCTTTATTTGCCTTGGCTGGAGCCTAGGGCATATGTAATAGATTGATATGATTATCATTGTTGAAATAAATATATATAATACCGGTTTACTTTTTTACTATCTATTTACTGCAGTTGATTTTACCTGAATGTATGAAACTTTTGCCGCTTTATTGCAACTGTATTATAAAGAGCGACGCTTTGCAAGGTAGCTCGGAGATCATGACTGACGATCGCAGTTGGTTGATGCAGACGGTCATGTCTATGGATGTCCCGTCCAGCCACATCTACTTTTATCCTCGCTTGGTACCCTTGGTAAGTATGCACCACATCAATAACAACAATTATAAAACAAGGTCCCTCCTAATATCTGAAAATGACACCTGATCATGTTTTGATCATGTTAATCTTGTTAACCTCTTTAGAATAATAAAAGTGTTAAATAATAAGGATAACTATAACAGCGATAAAAACATAAAATTTAATAAAAACAACATGATAGTGATTTTGTTAATAAAAATATTTTACACTAATGGTGACGATAATGGTAATGGTGATGATAATGGTGACGGTAATGGTAATTTGGTAATGGTTACGGTAATGGTTTCTGGTTTAAAGTTGTTTGTGTTGTTTTTAAAACACCTAACACTTTCCAGTTTAGAAGCCTCAGTGCTTTCTTTTATTACCTAGTATTTCCTGTTCTCTTTTTTTTATGCATCATTAGCATGAATTAAACCCAGACTCCAACACCCTACCAGTTGCCATCCGCTGCTCGGCAGACCGTCTCAGTGACACTGGAGTCTACTTGTTAGAAAACGGACTCTCAATGTTTATGTGGATTGGGCTACATGTGCCTCAGGACTGGGTACAGAATGTTTTTGGTGTCAACTCAGCTGCACAGATTAATATAGAATCTCAAAAACTTCTGCAAATTGATAATAAAGTATCAAACCAGGTGCG